GGAACATGTAGTGTTGCACTGCGGATATTATTCAAATTGACGTAATGAATGTAATCATTGCCAAAAAAAAGAACAAAGTGGCGTCCCCTTTTTTCCGAGATGCTGATCACAGCTTCAGCTTTCAGCTTGCACTGATTTAAACAAATGACATAGCCTGCTGAATAAGTGTCAAAAAATAGTTCCCAGTGTTCATGTATGTGTTATAAAGTTAAATTCTCAACAAACGCCATGTAGGGCATAAAGGTGATTTGATACATATGCATGAAGCTGCTGAGATACGCCAGCAATTTCTCTCGTTCTGGTAAGCTTTAACGCGCAGTCCTAGCTAATTTGTTGTAATAATCTGCAGTGTCTATGATGCACATTACACGCTCGTATTACAATTATAAACATCAATTTTGCAGAAATTAAAATATTAACGAAATAGAAAAGGCGCGCATGTTCTTGAAGAGAGAAGTATGAAGAAGTTAGAAGAAACACGACGCATACTGCATGTGTTTCTAGTCACAGCATCATTTTAAATCTAAATTAAATGCTCTTACAAGGAAACTGGAAGCTAAGAATCTTTCCATTCATTGCAGAAATACATAGAAGGGAAACCAAAGCAAGACTACCGATATACTGAAGATGAGTGGCCGTCCTCGAGACCCAAATGACGACATTGAAGAACTACAACAGAAAGTAAGGAATAATGAGATAAAGATAGCAGAGTTGGAACAACAGCTACAGAGAGATCGTGACTGCTATACTAAGAAAACCAATGAGCTTGAAGATGAGAAAAAAACTCTCGAAAATGAAGTGGATGAGCTCAAGAAGAAGATAAAATTGTTGGAAGATGAACAAAAGGGAAGAGACGCTCGATTCGATTCCATGGATAAAAAATTGGAAAAGATGGCAAAAGAATTACAATTCTTTACTAAGAAGTCTCAAGATCAGGAAAAAAAGTTGAATGAATACGTGGCTAAAACTGATAAGTTGGAAAAATCTCAAAAGCTGCTATACATTGGTCAGCTGTGTGCGAAAGTAATGGAAGCAATGTATCGGGAAGTCTTACTGATTTCGACAGTCTAAATCTCCCCAGATTAATGAAAATATAACTGTTTCCGTACGACAAGGTAATATCAAAAATGTCAGTCTATGCTTTTAAAACAATAAAATAACTTTTCCTGTTTTGCTAAAAAAGTAATACTTTTTACTTTTTTATTTTTTATCTTTATATGACAATGTTCTTGCTCTCAGGTATATACACCTAATTCAATAAACGTAGTCATCACCAAAGGCGATAGGGGATAGGTGAAAAGCGATAGGAGATAGGTCATTCCAAGATCCAAAAATAGCTGGAATGACTTGTGTTTCTGCTTCTTATTCTCGTCAAGAACATGGACCTTAGTGTTGAGACTGATTCGATGTTCTTTGTATTCAACGAAACAAGAGAATTTGAATATTTTCTCTTGACGAAACCATTTCCATGTCGGAATGGCCTATCGTCTATCGCCTTTAACGATGACAACGTTTTTTGAAATAGGTGTATACGTTTTTATCAATTTTCGTCATTCTATCATTTATCAATTTTTATCACGTTTTCCAAAGTTCCATTTTTTAATTCAATTTTACTCTGATAAACATTACGCATTCCACCGACAACACACAATGAAAAAGTGCGTAGCTACATTATCACACCTTCAAATTTCGTAATTTAATATTCATTTTACAATTGCAGTGAATCATGCACTTCAAAAAATAATAGATAC